GAGGATTACCTATGCCTTTATTTTAAAAAATTATAAAAAAATAATTGAATTTAAGCATTTAAGAGACACAAATACATGTACAAAAAAGGAAAACTATATAAAATATATATTTAAAAAAACATAAAATTTAAATTATGTGTTAAAATATACAATTTATTGGAACTAAGCTGGAAAAATAAATATGATGGTAAATTAAATTATAAAACTTGAGGTAAAATTCTTTTTTAATTTATTTGGTGCATTTAAACGTATTTATTTATTTAGTGGTTCATTTATATGTTTCTGCTTTTAATTCTAATTATGTCAGTGCCGGTCCTCCATACAGCAGAACTTGGAAGAGGTAGTTCAGTGACTGAATCATATGTGTTGGAGCAGGGAAACATGTAAAACATGCAGGGCTGTGGCCCTCGAGGACCAGGATTGCCCACCCCTGATATAGATGGAAGGAACAAGCAGAGGATGGATTTGTAAATGAAAGTATTCCATTGTAGAAGTCTGTAGGTAGATAATGATGGCCAGTTTACCAGAGAGTACAGGGTACAGGGGTGTGTGAGTGGTTTACATAATGCTTCAAGCAACATCCAACATTTGTAGAGAGCTGGTCGGGGCATTCATGGTCACAGATGTCTTCAAATACATCTCCATCAAATACAAACTACATGAATGGTTTGGTTCTGATTAAAAATGTTCAATTTTTTTAAACGGCAAATATTAAAGAGGTATTTTGTTGTATAAAAAAAAACTTTAAGTTCTTGCAGCCTGCTGTTAGACACTGATGCTTCAGTGCTGTTAGAATATTTATGTTATATAACAGGTCCGTCAAAAAGATCCAAACAAGTCACTATTTATTTCATCACTTAACTAAAAGTTTTTGTTTTAAGGTATTCCATGCAGTATATTTTATTGCAGTAGTATATTTTTAGGTTTCAGTAGTTTTACAAAAAGATCAGATTAATTTCTCCCACCATTCTCTGTAGAATACAGAAAGCCTGACCATAGGCATGGCTTTTCTCAAGCACACAAATAAAGAGTTACTCTGTTTCTTTACAATGAAGTGCAGTGATTTGCCCTGATGATCATTTATTTCTCCTGAGAAATAAAATTAGAGCCTCCTTTTGTTGATTCTGATGTAAAAGTTAACTTACATGTGTTGGCAGCACGGCGGCTAAGTTGTTAGCACCGACGCCTCACAGCAGGAAGGTTCTGGGTTCAATTCCTGGTTTGGACCTGAGGTCTTTCTATGTGGAGTTCACATGTTCTCCTCACGTTTGCGTGGGTTTTCTCCGGGTACTCCAGTTTCCCCCACAACACAAAAACATATACAATAGGTTGCTTTCAGACCCAGGCCACCCTTCAAAAAGGAGGTCTGCCTGGTTAAACTAAAGGAAATTTAAATGGACTGTACTTGTATGGCACCTTTCAATTCAATCAGGATACTCAAAGCGCTTCACACTACAGTCTGTGTCCTCATTTACGCAACGCTCTATTAGGTCTCTACAAAGCTAACATATACAAATCATATTTGGAAACTAATTAGTGCTAATCACATTCATACACTGATGGGACAAAAAAATGTCTGACAGAATTATGACCCTTCATTATCATCAGTGGGGTTTATACTTCAATATTTGTGTAACTGATCAAAAACTTGTGCCTATCTGCAACACTCTAGGGAAAAGGATCAGTATAACCTAAACAGAGACAACCAGTCCATCACCAGCACACACACATTGTTGAATGGAAGTTCATTGACTTCCATTCATTTCCAGTTGTTTCTATAGCCCCACCCAAAACTTAACACCACCCCGCACACCATTGAAAAAACAATGAGTTTTTATGCAGCAGTCTTCATACTCAGGAACAGAAATCAATCTAAACATTTCCATCCAGATGCTTTAATATTTAAAGCTACATTTAGTTTAAACTCTGACTTCTTCACATTCAGCTGATTTAGAGCTGAGTCCAAGACTGAGATATGCTGCTGCTCTGTCGGCTAACGAAAACAAAAAAAGTTGCAGGTACTTGTRGTTTTTTCCCTACAAAAGAAAACTGCCTGAAACCCATGTTTTAACATCTAATGTGTTTGTGGGCAGTGATTTCCTGGTTGTATGGTTTGATGAACAACCAGAAGATGGCAGCCTCCCCTCATGTACCTTACTGTCTCCAGCTTCAGCGTTGTCAGGCTTTGAGGATACAAAATGAGTGAACAGAATCTTTTTGACAGCATTTTTTCTACGCTGTATTTATCCTGTAGGAACTCAGCAGCGTGAACTACCTGGAGCTGTACCGCGTGGCCGACCTGTTTCATTTGCCCACCCTGGAGGAGGCCGTGGTGGGCTTCTTGGTGGAACATCTGTCCGAGCTGAGTCAGAGCCGGCAGGACGAGGCCCAGCAGTTGCCCTATCGCCTCCTCAGGGAAGTGCTGAAAAGTGACCGCCTCACATCCCTGAGCGAGGAGGAGATATGGAAGGTATGATCCTGCTTTTAACGAAGTTTGTGTGTTTAGGTAAGAACAGATGTGACAGTGATGTTTCCAAACCAGTTGTTTTCCAAAATATTAGCTTGACAGCAAGTGAGGGAATAATGTTTTCACCCATGTCTGTTTGGGTGTTTGTTACCAAAATATCTCGTGAATACATCTGTAATAATAATGAAACTTCCAAAAAGTAATGATTGGATATACATTTACAACTAACACAATTCAAGGGTTAAAACTGTGGCGGACTTACATTTAATCTGCTAAAATTCTGTGTGGTAGTAGCTGAGACTGCTCACCAAAACATATTTGGAGCAATTACAAATTCTACATAATTTCTTACCATTACTGATTTGGAATGAACTTGTCTGTTAGCAAAATATCTCGAAATCCAATAGACGGATTTTAATAAAACTCTTAGAAAGGCATTATTGAACGTACCAATTTGATTCAAGATGGCTGCCACAGCCAGCTGACATTAGGAAACATAAAAATGGTAACAATCCAGTCAGATTTTCAGAGATTAACCTAATATTTGCTGTGGTAGTAGCTGGGAGTCATTCACAACATGTACTCCAAATGTCACTCATTGTGCAGAATCTTGTTTTAAAATTTCTGGTGTAAACCATGTCTGTCTGTTAGCAAAATATCTCTTCACTCCATTGGCTTCCTGTTTGCTTTAGGACAAATTTTAAGTTCCCTTTCAGTCAATTCACTCGGTACAACATCATGTATGGGAACCACGCCCCTGCGTGTCCTGGCTGAAGCCACC